CTCCCTCCCTCCCTCCCTCCCTCCCTTCCTTCCTTCCTTCCTTTCTTCCATCCTTGGGAACACTGGTTTTAGGAAAGCTAGACAGAATTTAAAAGAGTCTTGAATTCAGCCATTGCAAATCTCTCTCTCTCTCTCTCTCTCTCTCTCTCTCTCTCTCTCTCTCTCATTTTTGAGACAGGGTTCTCTGTGTAGCCCTAGCTGTCCTGGAACTCACTCTGTAGACCAGGCTGGCCTCAAACTCAAAGATCCACCTGCCTCTGCCTCAGGTATGCTCCCCCTGCACTTGACAGTATATAGCCCTTTCTTTCAAAGCGCTGGTCCACATCTGCTTTGGAGGTTTTCCTATGACAAAGTCCCCACCATGTGCTTCCCTTCTTCCCATCTCAGCTTCCTTGATGGTTTTGTTGGCCATCTCTCTTCTCACAAAGAAGTCTTCCAGTCAGCACTGTCTGTCACAGGATTGACCCTTCACTTCTCTGAAGGGGCTTACAAATGTCAGCTGCTTCACATGATCACCTCCCTCTAGCAACCCACACTGCAAGGAGCCCCCACACCACTGGAACATACCTGTTCCATCCTAGAGGTTGCTATAAATCTGGTCCAAAGAGGACTATCTGTCTCTCATGAAGCTTTTTGGAAATTTTACTTGTTACTTCAAATGTGACCTTGTTGGCACAGTCTGGGCCTCTCACTGCTGATGCCATGTGTCCCTGTGGTCCAGGATGAGTCTGTGCTGGTGTGACCTCTGCTTTTCCCTACCTCTCTGGATGTGCCTCCCAGTCACAATCATCCTAGGATGCTCTTCTCCTGGGTGCACTCCACACAACCCTGCTTTGTCAGGAGTTCCCTTCTTCATCTGTTTCTGCTCATTTTTCTCCTCACCTTTTCCAGTATCTGCTAGCATGGCTAATGTTTTCAATCTACCTTCTCTCCAGCCTGTACCCCTTCCCCGCTAAGCCTTTACCAGAACAAACAAAACCAAAACAACAACCTGCGTCAGAAAGCCCACATCCATTAGCAATGCAACAGGTGCTTTATGGCCAATGTTTTGTACATCATCTTTCCAGTGACTTCGTAGGTCTCCATCAGAAAACAACAACAACAGAAAACAACAACAACAACAAAAAACTATTGATTCTGACAACTACTTATCATGTGCTTTTAAAATGCAAGGTCCTCCGGTGGTTCTCTCAGAACTCTGCCAGCTACTCCAGCACCTGCGCAAGGACAACCATACTCACCACCTGACACACCACTGTTCACCCATTAATACATTTCTGGACCATCCTCATCTCTCAGGGTAACAGTCTAAAGTTTTACTGACCAGGTATCCTAATTAGATCCCAGTCTTGCAGCTAAAATGCCTTCTGTTGACCCCCACCCAACTCCATTCTGCTCACACAAACACAGGAACAGTTTACTTTTTGTGCCCCAGTCGTACCCTAATTTGGTGGGGTTTGTTTTTTCTCTTCTGAATCCATCTTTCAAAAACTAAATTGAGATGTCACTTCTGCCAGGAAGCCTTCTGTGGTAGCCTTCTCTGGACTGTTCTTTGCATTGTGACTTAGGTGTGAATAATGTCCAGGAGTGGACACTACAGCCCAGTGCACACAGCTTGTTGGCATAACTCCCCATCACACTGACCTCTTTAACTAGAACTTCTGGCTATGATGGCGCATGCCTGTGATGCCAGCACTTAGGAGGCTAAGGCAGGAGGATGCCAAGTCTGAGAAGCCATACACAGAAGATACCCCATGTCCTAAAAACAAAACAAAGAGTGGATAGGAACTGTGCCCATGTGCTTTTTTAAGTGATGTATTCTGTGTTTTGCTTCCTGATTTCATATTTATCTTCCCCATCTAAGCAGACCACCTTTTGGTGATCTTACCTTTTTCTCTACATTGCTTCATGTTCCTGTTGTTGGTGACTTCTGAAATTCACTACAGCCCTCTCCTAAGTCCCACTTTCAAAAACAAATGACACCTTCCTCCTTATTTTGCAAGTTCTCAAGTGAGAAAAGTAGAAAAACACTATGTGTGCATCTCTTATGTTGCATTTTTTTTGAGACAGGATTTCCCTGTGTAACAGCCCTGGCTGTCCTAGAACTCTCTTTGTAGATTATGCTGGACTGGAACTCACAGAGATCTGCCCGCCTCTGCTTCCCCAGTGCTGGGATTAAAGGCGTGCACTACCACTGCCTAGGAAGTTCCATTTTTACTATGTCTTGAAATATTATTGTAGAGTTACCTTGCTCTCAAAATATGAGGTAATATAAAATATTAATGTCTGGTGGAATTTCCCAACTAGAACAGAGAATCAAGTTTCCTGGGGTCATTCTGTTAGAAGTAATTCACTGAATATTATCACCTCTGTAAGGCTTGATAAACAGGTCCTCTCAGGACTATGAGCAGTATGGAACTGGGCACAATTTATATATACCCCTCTGCCACACTCTTTGACCATTGTGATTGACTATCTCTAAAGGGTTTGGAGAAGATTAGGTCTTGACCTTCAGAATGGTAACCATGCATAGGCAGTGTAGAGGCAAACAGCTTGCAGCGACCTTCACAATACACTGCAAATACAATGGAAGGTGAATTCAAGATCCATTTCCACTTTAAATAAATGAGATAAAAACATTCTAGATCATCTCACGCCATCAGCGGACTCTAGGGTCAGGCATGTTTAGGGAAGAGAAAAGAAGGAAACAGCCTTTATGAGTGAACATCCACCCCTCATTAGCTGAGCCAAAAGCATTATCCCAAAGGCTTTGCAGGCCGCACAGCAACTCCAGTCCCTCATTCCTATGTAGAACAGAGGGCTGAGTCCATGCAGTCCATAGGAGGCCATGCAGATGACCTCACACCAGCAAGGGTCGCCTGTTCCCTCTCCTCATTTATCATAAGAGAGAAAAGGAAGAGCAGAGTAAAGGCAAGCAACTCGATACGCTAAGATGTTACATCCCACAGAGAGATGGACACTTGGTGCCGACCTGGGTTTCTGCCTGCAGAAGGTGAAGATGCCATCATTACCTGCCTCATGGAGCATAGTTACTCTGTGCTCACCTGAAAGTTCTTTAGCAACAGTTCCTTCAAAACAGAACCACCTGAGGCTGGGGGTGTGGTTCAGTGGTAGAACGTGGCCTAGCATGTATAGGGTCCTGTAGATCCCTGTCACTAAAACCAAACAAAAAGTAAAATCAATGTAAAAATGTCAAAACCCTGTTGATGTTCTTGCTATCACTATACATACAGCTAGGATGAAGGTGTGTATATTGATCTTCATACCCAAATGATGGGCCAGATAGCAAGTATGAATAAGAAAAATCAAATCTGAAAATGCCAGAGAAGTAATATGTTTCTTAGAAGTCTGTGGCATTGGATGTGGCATGGCCAATCTTACCAATAGTCTTTAAGGAAAAGAACAACCATTTACTCCATTCCTAACAATTTTCATAACCATTCATTTGACTGTAGAAAATCATCTTCCAATGGAACCTGACTGTGCTCAACTGTGAATCTGTGGTATTTTGTGCCCATGTAATCTAGGATTATGGGAACTTTCTGATCTAGGAATCAACGTATTTGGTTACAACAAAGTAAATTTCAAAAGCCAAGTTCAACCTAGGAGATAATAAAAATGGAAGCCTTTTAAAAACACACAGGTGTGTGTGTGTGTGTGTGTGTGTGTGTGTGTGTGTGTGTACACATTCTCTCTCTCTGTCTCTCTCTCTCTCTCTCTTACACACACATGCATTGATCAGAGATTCACACACACACACACACACACACACACACACACACACACACACACACACACACGCATTGATCAGAGATTTTTTTTACTCCAGTGGAAAAAGGCTCCAGGAAGTTGATCGTTTAAAGGTCTGGGAGATGGGGATGCTGTATTTTTTTGCCCAGAATGACCTCTGTGGATCAGTTTTTGAAAAAGAATTTGTGTTTCTTTCCAACATGGATGAAGGCTCTCCTGACTCTCCATTTCAGCTGTGTAAACACTGAACTCTCAAACAGCTTGGAAAGAAAATAAGAACAGCATTTGAAAAAAAAACTGAATAATACAATTGTATTGCTGATTATTTCTCTTATGTAATATCTCTACCTCCTTCCAGTGCAAGGCAAAACACAAAGATAATGTTGTTGTCTTCTGTGATGTAAATGTAAAAAAAAGAACACAAAACATGTACTATATAAAAATTACATCATGTATATGCATATAATTTGTCATGCTTTGATTTGGAATGAACCCTTGTTTTTTTATTATCAACATTGGAGCTCTTCTACATAATACTACATTTTATTAAAATAAATCAGACATACTCTAACTTTGTACATAAGGAAAATATTATTGATCTTTTTAAAAACTTCACCTATAAAACTGTTGCTTTTCTGATTTATGTTTTTAATACATTACTTAATAGCTACCATTTTTTGCCTACCTGAGAGTAAAACTGAACAGTAACATTGAAAATATTGTAGGAAACACTTATAAATTTTCCTGTAAGGTTTCTGGAAATGATTTAATCATAATTTTAAATGGCTATTCTTGATTTTCCCTAATAACTCTGTTCATAAGCCCTTTTGGCCAAGATGGCTTCCATCAACACAGAAGTAAAAGTCTATCCTGCCCATGTGTGAAGCAATTAATTTCAGGCAAGGCTTACCCAGTCTACACACAGAGGACTGATTTGAGACTACTTTCTAGCTGACACATGGGAATCTGTATTTTAGTCTTTTCCTAGACTTTTAGTCTTAGTTGGGATACCACCTGCTGGGCAATTCATTTAGAGTCCAAGCTCAAAATCTGTCAAAGAGAGAATCAACATGTAAAGTTCTAGAAGGATCTTTGGTGTTCTTGGCACTCTGCTTGGAGGATATCATGGATCTGAAAGGTGGTTTGATTCTTTGCTTGTTCCATAAGAGGAAGTAAGACAATAGTTTCCTGATGACATTTTGTGAACTCTTGCTTTAGAAATGCCCTTAAACTGCTTAGGGTCAACTTGACCCTGACAAAACCAATACATAGCAAATGATTGTGAAAATAGCTCATTAAATGTCTCTCATATTGTGACCTACCAGCTTCAACAGTGGGTAAGTCTGTGTTAGATTCTTAATCTTCCCCTTACTCATAACTATTCTCTTTTGTGGTTTCTTTGAACCTAATAATCCAAAATGGTAGAACTCTAATGAAAACATTGTGTTAATAATATGCTAAGTAACTAGGATAGCCACTGCCAGCTCTTATTTTGTGCAGTATAAAATAAAAACTATAATTGATAAATTCCAACTGGGCCATAGGCAATCATCCGAATTCTATAGCATTTGGTGGAAGAAATTATATTACTTTCCAAGCTGTGTCACAATATAATAATCAAAGATGTAAATCAATTCAAATCTAACCATGCCATTATTTATATTTTTTCTGGAAATGAGTAGACTTTGTTGTTGTTATGTACGTTATTTCATATCACCCTGTTCGTGTACTGTCATAGAGAAAATGTTAGAAAATGTCTTCCTTCAGGGCCCATCTGAACAGAATCTGAACCCAGACTTGCAGTCCTACACTGCAACTTTGTTGGAGCTCACAGCTTCCTTCTGAGTTATATATTTTCACCATTTAACTAGTTAGATTTTTCAGGGATGAAAGGTTGTTTATTGGGCTCCAGGTTACCGCATTTTTTTTTTTCTAGTATCTTCCAAAATGCACTGTTCAGAACTGACTTGGGCATGGTTGATCCAAATAACTGCCAAAGGGTTAATTATTACATGTGGTCCCAGATCTCTGGTCCCATCTGGGGAAAAATTTTAATAACTTAAGTAGGTGTTACAGATCTATAAAGAATGGCCCTTGGTTGGCAAAAAAAAAAAAAAAAAAAAAAAAAAGGAGCAGATATGGAAACTTCTCACAGCTAAATTTACAAGAATACAGTAATTGGTTAACGTAAAAGGAAATGGTTTTGACAGATTTACACTCTGGAGTGTATTAAAACCTACCAAAATTCAGGGTTCAAGTGCATGTTTATCTTAACGTGGGAGAATCTGGCCCTGAAGATGAAACATGATCTCCTGTCAAGAACATGTAAGAGACACAAGCCCATGGCCTCTGTCCTGTCTTGATTTTTACTTGACTGTCCCACCAATGTTTTCTCTATACTTTTTAGATTCTCGTGTAAATCATCAACCCAGAGAAGAAAAGAAGGAATGCTACTATAATCTCAATGATGCTAGTCTCTGTGATAACGTGCTGGCCCCCAATGTCACCAAACAAGAATGCTGCTGTACGTCAGGTGCTGGCTGGGGAGACAACTGTGAGATCTTCCCCTGCCCTGTCCAGGGGACAGGTAAGATCTACTGACTGTTGTGTTCACACTGCCTGTTCGCATGACATGATGTTCACTGGCCTGAGAAGGGGTACCTTTTAGTTATGACTTTGAGGTCCTGATATAGCATTCTCTGCCTTAGTGACTCCAATGAGCCTGTCCTTCAGTGAACTACCCTCCAGCCCAGAGCCTTTGCCCTCATCCCACCTCCATATGAATTCTTTTATTATTATTATTATTATTATCCCCAGGCAGGGTAAGGCCCTCAAAAGTGGCTCCCCAAAGTCTACCACATCATCCTGGGCCAGGCCTAGGCCCTTCCCCATGTGTCCAGGTCAAGAGAGCATCCCTTCATACTCCATATGAATTCTTAAATTCTGCCTGTCATAGGATGCACGGTTACAGTCAGGCTCTATAGGATGCTATGAAAGATAATTCAGTTTTATTTCCTTTTAAAATAAGAGAAATCTCATTATTTACTTATTTGTGTCTGTGCATATGTTGGCATATGCTCACTTACATGTGTAGGTTAACGTGTCCATTTGGGTACCCAGAACCAGGTTTCCTCCTCCATCATTTCCCATCTAGTGTTTTGAGGCAGGGTCTCTCCCTAAACCTTGGACTCAAGTTTTCTCAGCTAGGCTGGAAGACATCATGCCCTAGCGATCCTCTTGCCTCTGTCCCCTCTTTAAGCTGAGATTATGTGGGTGCTGGGATCTACACCCCTGCCCTCCTGATTGAGGAGCACTCTTAAGTGATGATCTGTCTCTCTAGTTCCCCAGAGTCTTCCTATTTTATACTGATGACAGCACTGTTATATATTTAAGACAAACTGTTCCTGTGTGGGCTCTTACTAAACCTTCAGAACACTAACCACCATAGTAATGCAAAAATAGCAATCATGATATTAAATAAAACATGGGAGAAGTAGGACATATGGCAGGTTGTCAGGCATGGTGGTGCATACCCTGAATTCAAGTACTCAGGAGACAGATGCAGACAGATCTCTGTGAGTTCAAGGCCTGCCCGGTTTGCCTAGAGAATCATAGGCTGGTCAGGACAATACAGTAAGACCCTGTCTTAAAGAAAAGAAAAGAAAAATAAAATGTATCAACTTCTAGAATTGGCCATCTTCTCACCTAGTCTGTGACTTTGAGACCATGCTGGATTTATTGATCGAGTATTTAAAAGTTTCTGAGTCTGAGAAGGAGAAGCTGGATTAAAAACATGTGCTCGGGGAAATGTTGATGCTTTGTTTTCTTTTTTGACTGATTGCATTTTTTATTTTTTGCTTTTGTCTCTCTTAAAATCAGCTGAGTTCACAGAAATGTGCCCTAGAGGGAAAGGATTTGTCCCCACTGGAGAATCCTCTTACAACACCGGTGGTGAGAGCTATAAAGGTCAGTGTCATGAGTTTGCAACATGTGTCTGTCACTCGGGTAGGAGCCTGGCTTGGGTTACACAGTGGTAGAGTTCTGTTGGGCTGTGGAAACTGGTGGCTGTGCCCCTTTTCCACCCCAGGAGGAAGATCTCTGAGGATGCTGGACAAAACTCCGATTTGAGGTCAGAATCCCAGAGGCTATGTGACCTTGAGAGGTCATATGACCTGAGTTTCCAGCTGTTCAGCTCTGAAACAGGAATTTTTTCAGAATTACAGTGAACTTTCAATGAAATAATATGTGCAAAACTACTTACCACAAAAGATTGTAGTCAGGAGGTATTCTTTCACCTAGACATACACTCCAAATTATATAAACCATGAGCATGTAAGTTTGATTATCATGGTGCCCTTTATGACTAGGTATGAAGCTAAGAATCATACTTTTTTTAGTAGCCTTTCTTGCTCTTCCTATACTGTTTATCTAATGCCCATAGATTCATAATGAAAACAAGAAAATGGGAAAAATGAAACTGGCTATTTTATATCCTTAATGCTATTGTTGAACAAATAAGTGTGTAGCCTTTTTTTAATGGTGAATGTTCATATATAGGAACATTTCTTCATTAACTGACTTTTGACAGTTCCATAGTAGAGATATTATAATGAAATACTATATATAAGGTAATTTTTTCCATTATAGCTTAATAGTGAAAACTGGAAAGTAGCTGGAAAAGAGACTATGAAAATGGCTTTATTATCCATCTACTTTTGGAAAGCTAGTATTTGAATGGTATGGGCTAATTCAGTAGCTGGGCAAGAAATTCCATTTGTGTTTTTAAAATACATCTATGATTTAGTCCAACTGGATTGGAAGACTTGGTTTGCAGTATATGTTGAATGGTTTTCACGTTCATAAATATCACATATCCCATTTTTACAGGAATGCAGTTAAAATGCACTTCATGTTATGAACCTCAATTTTACGATACAGCCATCCTCTCTTTTATATAAAACCCAGCTCCTCCTCCTAACGGTGCTTCCAGTGTGGAAGGAGATGGGATGCAGGCCCTTTACTGCCACACATTCTGTGCTCCGCACTGCCTTTTTCCATTTGTATAAATTCGAGCATGTATTCCATGGCGTTGAGAGTTTTCAAAATAAGAGCTAGATGGCATTTGCTCTGAACTTCTTGAACAGGCAACCTCGGAGTGTCCAGAATCCTTAATATAGATTATCTTATTTATCCTTGGAATCCTAGTACACTGGTGGACCCGGCTGTATCCAGTTTATCATGGAGACAACTGTGATGGCCAAGGGTTAATTCAGTGGGGGAAGTGGGCCTGCCAACCCTCTTTATAACTTGCAATTCCATGGATTTCCCTCCCTCCGCAGAAAAGATCTTCTTCGTGTCCATCAAAGAGTTCTTGGCATTTTGTCCATCTCAGCTAGTAAATGGGGTGACATTTACCACAGATAGAAAGGCCAATTTCATGAAGGCTACATTAGAGCAGGTTCTGAGAGCCACTGTGGAATCCAAAGACTAGCTCACTGAGGGTGAGGTGGCATCAGAACATATCTCATCACATTCTGCATCTGTCAGTTGGGTCCAATTTTAAGAATTTTATATTCTATATCATAAGAATCTTTTGAGCATAATAATATCTAATCTAAAACCAGATATTGGTTAGATTCTTCTTCAAGTGAAAATAAAAACATATTCCTATTTCTCTTGCCATAGATGCTGATGAATGCCTGCTGTTTGGGGAGGAAATCTGCAAAAATGGTTACTGTTTGAACACTCAGCCTGGGTATGAATGCTACTGTAAGCAAGGGACGTACTATGATCCTGTCAAATTACAGTGTTTTGGTAAGCTTTAAGAGAATATAGTAACGTGTGCTGGGAAAATGTACAGGAAAAAAAAGGAATGCTATGTAATAAAAATGCTATAATTTTTATTTATAAATTTTATTTCTAAATTGTGTCTTTAAAAGACAAGTGTTTTGTAGATCTCTTTCTTGAGCAAGATCTGAGAAATAAAAACCTTTCATCCTTGTATTGAATGGGTGTCAGGAAAGGAGTTCATTGTCATTGTGGAATTACAATCCAGGTCACCAATATGACTGCAGAGTCCTCCTAGGCTGTAGAACTTCCTGTTCCATCAGTCAGATCAGTAATGCAATCAGAGGACATTTTTAAATATTCACATAGACTTTAATCCTTAAGCAGAAAACCATGTACTATAGGCAGAAAAATTCAGCATAAGGAAATAATAGTAAAAGTATTCTTTTTTAAGGGCATTTTATCTTAAGTTTCTAAGCATGTTCCATTCCTTTACATATTTCCTTTACATATTTAATAGCAGCAGTAGCAGCATTGCTTTTCCTCAGTGACTCTGTCTTTCCAGCCACAGGGTTCTCCTGTGGATGATGATGTGTAGTTAATTCAAATGTGATGGCTCTTGGGATCAGGACTGAATTTATCAGCATGTTAACTTTGATAACTGTATGAAGCACAAATTATTGCTGATTTTCTTGGGTGATTTTTTTTCCTCTTAAGATATGGATGAATGTCAAGACCCTAACAGTTGTATCGATGGCCAGTGTGTTAATACGGAGGGCTCTTACAACTGTTTTTGCACTCACCCAATGGTCCTGGATGCCTCTGAGAAAAGATGTGTGCAGCCAACTGAATCAAATGGTATGTTTGGATGTGAGATACAAATGTCTATTCAGATAAATGCTCAAGATTGTCTTTTAAACTAAAAATGGAAATGTCTCAAAAATAGGGACATTAATTCCATGGTTAGCTTAAGGAAGTAAAGAGAGCTACTAAGAGAAATAATGAGATATATATGGTTCATGTGTAGATTTACTATTCTGGATGTATTAGTTAGGGTTTCTATTGCTGTGAAGAGACACCATGACCACGGTAACTCTTATAAAGGAAAACATTTAATTGGGTGGCTTACATAACAGTTCAGGGGCAGGACATGGTGGCATGCGGACAGACATGGTTCTGGAGAAGGAGCTGAAAGTTTTACATCTTACTATTCAGGCAACAGGAAGTAATCTGTGTCACTGAGCATGGCTTGAGCATACATGAGACCTCAAAACCCACCTTCACAATGGCACACTTCCTCCATCAAGACCACACTTCCTCCATCAAGACCACACCTCCTAATAGTGCCACTCCTTTGGGGGCCATGTTCTTTCAAACCCCCACAGTTCCCATTAAGGGAATATCAGGATACAGAGGGGCTGAGCTCATGGAAGGGCTGTTCCACCTGAGCATTCGTCACACTTAAACTTCAGAGGAAAATGAGAGGTCTGGAAAAATAATGTGTTTTCCCAGGGTGCATGACATGGATAAAGCTAGACAGAACAGAGTGCGAAGTTCAGCAAAGTGAAGACTTCGAAAGTGCATAGATGGAAATCCCCACTAGTCTCTGAGGATGTGGTGTGTCTTTGATTATTGTTATGATCAATCAATCACTCCTCATATTTAGGAGATTCCTTCAGATGAAACAAAGGTACAAAGTTTAGAATTGAACATTCTAGAGTGAGGTGTTATTAGGCCAGGGTTTGAGCAGATGAAAAGAGTAGAAAATCATGGATACGGAAGGAAGTGGCAGAAGTTGACAGAAGCCCATCAAAGGACAGCAAGATAATGAGAACTTTCTATATTGAGAGGACTGTCTTAGGGCAAGCATTCACCCAGACGGAATGTCAGCTGATGGAACAGCATTCAGCTGGAGATGACAAAGATGTGATCTGTGGAAAGAGCAGGCTGAATTGAGACTATTCCTTGGAAGTTGCTCATAGAAGTAGGGATGGAAACTTTGAAACTTGCTGGCTTCCACGGCAGTGTCGATGAAATAGGAATAACAGTGCAATTGTCATGGAACCATGTCTTCCTTTTCAGAACAAATAGAAGAAACTGATGTCTACCAAGATCTGTGCTGGGAGCATTTGAGTGAGGAGTATGTGTGCAGCCGTCCTCTGGTGGGCAAGCAGACAACGTACACCGAGTGCTGCTGTCTGTACGGGGAGGCGTGGGGCATGCAGTGTGCTCTCTGCCCCATGAAGGACTCAGGTGAGCTGGTGTCCTGTTTATTCTGCACGAGGCCTGTGACACGTGCTCTTCATCTCCTGTGGAGCTTGGCATGTCTTTCATATAGCCTTTCTCCTTGCATCTTTATTCATCACAGGTGGTGTGTGTGCTTAGTAGAAGATATAGTTATATAAGCATGTACCTCCTGGTTTACCTTCAAGCCAGACCACATCATTAATTTTTGAAGTCATTGTTCATTTTCTCCCAAGAATGACAAATGACCTGAAGAAATATAATCTAACCATCTGTGGAATAATTTTTTGCACCTTTTTTTCTAATTTATATTTTTAGATGCTTCATTGTTCTTACCCAGTTTTTAAAACGGAGAGGGGGAAACACATTAGAGACTATAATATATTAATTGAGGTAGAAGTTCAAGTGTTGATGCCAACCTCCATATAAGAGATACTGGTAGAGCATGCTAATCCAAAAATTCAAAAAGTTCAGACTTTAGACCACTTCAGATTTGGGGATTAAAGATGCTCAATTGGCGACATCTATCCGAAGGTCCCCAAGTCCAAAAATCTCTTTAGTTACTATTCCATTGCTGTGAAGAGACATGGTGACTAAGACAACTCTTAGTAAAGAAGGCATTTAAATTGGGGCTTTCTTACAGTTTCAGAGAGTTAGTCCAGAATCATCATGTCATGGACCAGACAGGCGTGGTGCTGGAGCAGTAGCTGAGGGCTTTATATCCTGATATACAGGCAGAAAGCAAGCAGAAAGAGAGAGGAAGAGAGAGAGAGAGAGAGAGAGAGGGAGAGAGAGAGAGAGAGAGAGAGAGAGAGGAAGAGAGAGAGAGGGGGGGGCTGGTATGGGCTTTTAAAACCTCAGCCTCCACCTCCAGTGACACACCTCCTCTCACAAGGCCACACCTCCTAATCTTCCCAAACAGTCCCACTAACTAGGGACCAAACATTCAAACATAAGAGTCTATGAAGCACCGTTTTCATTCAAACCATCCTAGCTCCAAACCTTGAACTATTTCTGGTCCCAGGCATTTCAAATATGGGCTGTTCAACCTGTTTGAGAAAGCTGGCTTGTTGTGTAAAAGTCCTTGCCGATAAGCCTGACCACCAGTCCCTGATTTGACATGGTAGAAGGACAGAACAGGCTCCCATAAGTTGTCCTCTGACATCCACACGTGTGATGTGACATGCATGCCTACTCACTTGCACATAAATAAATAAATAAATGCCAAAATTTTCCAAGAAATTATTAGAAAGAGAAGGAAAGAATGGAAGAAATGAAGAGTGTTTAAGTAAATCTAATTTTTCTCCAAGTTTTGGGTGTGAGCATCAGTTGTTCAATTGCCTTGTGTTAGAGGATGTTTGGATCCTATGCTTTCTGCCTGGCTGTTTGGTGGCTGCTGGTTTATGTGATAACCCTTTTTTTTTTCCTTTTCTGACCACCAAAGCCACTTCTTGTTTTAAAGAAAGGTACTGGAAAGTGTTGTATATTGTTTTCTCAAATGGACTTAAGGCTAGAAAACCAGCATATTTGAGCAAGATGAAGGAATTCATAACCAGCACATACTCTCAGAGTAGCAAGGAAGGTAGGGATTGCTGCAAGAGGGGAAGTACATTAATTTTTGGCTAATTCAATTATTAGAATATTTCTTTCAAGCTGCTTCATAGATGTAGCATCCCTGCTTAGAAATAACTTGAAACCAATGTAGCATGAAAAAGAAAATAATCTGAAATGCCACACACAAAAAAGCAAATCCCTAAAGTAATAGATGGAACTGATAGCAGCTCAGCACTGGGAAGGCTAGATTCTAGGGTTGGATCTGCCACACTGCCCACGGCAGCAGCCTTCCATGAGAATATGCATCACTAGCTCATGGGGTTGTGGTGAGGGCAGGAGAACGTGGGACTGCTGGTGACCAGCGAGGCAGATGCCACCGGGAGACAAGAATAAAATCAGTGTAGAGATGAATACAGCAAGGCCTGGCTCTCCTTATTGTGTTTCAACTCCTCCCTATCTCCTTGTCCTTATTCAGTGCTTTTCATTAAAATAATAATAATAATAACGAATAACTGAATGAATTAAAACAACAAAAGAAGTTGTATTTCCCTCCACCTGCCCTGTCACATTTGTATTCTTCTCCCTGAAGATATTCACCCTTGACAGTCTCATAGGCTTTTTGCTTTATGTGTCCATTTAGTACAGATTATGTTAGTCATTGGTGTATATTTAGTGTAATATTTACTGAACTCAGTACCAGCTGTCGAAGCAATGCTTTGTTTTGTTGTTGTTGTATATGTCAACACTTCCTAATCGATGCTTACCTCCTAATCGATGCATTAAAATGGCCACAAGCCATGCTTTGTACATTTTGACATCATCTCTCTTAAGAGCACCTGGTGGTATTTTAGGACTGCTGGAAGAAGGGCTGTGCAGAACCTGTTCTATCTATGCAGCCTGGTTTATTTAGCCTCATCTCATACTGGACGTTGTAATTGTTCCTTCATAGCCTTTCTTGGCCCCGACCCTGACTTTCCCATTGTAAACAATGCTCCAGTGAACTCCCGTGTGTGGACCTATAGGATGGCCTGGGAAGAAAGCGCCCACAAGTTAGAGCACCAGGCTGGGAAGTGCATTCAGTTTTAACTGACTCTTGTTATTTCCACCAATGCCAAGTTGGAAAAGTTATACTCAGGGCAGTAGTGCCATTTTACCAGTAGTGCCATTCTTCACCTTTGGAGAATGCTTTGGTTGAGAAAGGAACCTTGGTGGATACACAAGGTCTACTCCTGAGCTACACACCCAGCCCCTTCAGAATTGTTTCTCCTGTGTGGGTAATGTACATTGTAAATGCATTGCCCTTGTTTCTGAGCAGTTGGAGGTCTTTTCCTAAGTTTACAGGTGATTTGTGTTTGTCTTGTTGCAGCCTTGGATCTGTGTCTTCTTGCTTATTTGTAGGCGTGGCATGGCATTATTTGTTGACAGCCCTGGCCTTTGGACTCCACTGTGTGTGTGGTCATGGATGCTCTCCAGGAAGGGTTTGTGTAGCACCATGCTTTATTCTGTCTCCAACTTGATCTCTCTCAATGCTGCATTTACCACCTATGACTGACAAGCCAAGCACCTTTGATAATCATAGTTAATTGACTGCATTTTCAAAAGAGACATCCCATCAGGGCTGGGGAGATATCTCAATGGTTGAGAGAATACTTTTGATCTTAAGTTTGGTTTCAAGCACACATGTTAGATGGCTCACAACCACCTGTAACTCCAGTTCCAGAAGATCTGATACCCTCTCCTGGCCTCTCAGGCACCTTCACATATGACATACATACATACATACATACATACATACATACATACATACATACACTAAAATAATATTTTCAAATCAAATGCATTTTCTAATGTAACAAAAATCAAAGGCTCTTATAACATGTGTGGTTACCTAACACCTGGACATGAATTAAAAATCAACCAATGCAGAATTGTCATTTATATAAGTTTCTCTTCTACATTGCTGCTTTATGAACACAAAGAAGAAGCCCGTGAGCTAGGAGTCTCACCTGAACTCCAGCCCTGCTTCCAAGGTTGTCGGGATGAGAGTACAGGATTCTGCATTCTCCAAGTGCCTCCACTGTAGGTCTAACAGCTAGTGAGATTCTCGGTTTACCAAGGAGCATCTGCACATGTTCAAACCTGCTTTCACAATGAGACTCTCAGAGGAACCAGAGAATGTGTGAGGTTTAAAACTGGATGCCTGTAGTTCTGTCTCTGGACCTTTTTAAACTCTCCATTTCAGCATCTCTCCACTGTTGAGAAGCACAGCCTTATCCTTTGTTAATTCAAACACTGGACTAGACCCAGACAGACAGACATGGAACCTTCCAGTTTCTGTAGGAGGGCCGCACTGTTTGGGGGAACAATCTGTTACTGATGGAAACGGTGCTCGGGGAATTTGTAGACTAAATCACAGTGCCTGTCATCAGCTCTGAGCATTAAAGTGCAGTGTAAGTACAGCTCTGGCTCACGACAGGCCTTCACACTTCTGGTCCAATAGGTCACAGGCATTAATTCTTGCTGGAGCAGCAAGTCTGGGAATACTGGCAGGTGGAGGCTGTAGGAGTGGCCCGTTCCTTGTGGTTCTCTGAAGTTAGAAGTTGCTCTGTGGGTTGGTACTGCATGTGAGAGAAATGAGTGGAGGGTGAAGGGTTATGTCAGAGAAAAACTTGCATGAGAAAAACTATGCCATTGTGTAATTCTGCTCACTTTTGGGGCCACTCTGGATTTTATGTCAGTCCTCAGCTAGTTAAAGGGGCCAAATGGCAGGCTCGTTTAGAAGAAAGCTCCAGATTATTTGTGGTCAAGTGAAGGGTGTGACAGTGGTGTGGTGAGCATGTGCTAACAGCCTCTGCCTTCTAGAGCCCCGGAGGCCTCCCTCACCCTCTGTCCGTTCCTGCCACCTCTGCCTCCCTCCCTCTCCTTTTGCAATACCCTCTGCTGCTGCCCAGTCTTAGAATGTCAGTGGCTGAGCTTGCTCTGGGAGGATCCCCAAATATGATCTGTTTATCACCGTATTGAGACTGTGAAAGGCAAGGCTGTTAAGAAAACCAGTTCAAACCAAATAAACCCACTGTATCCATATTTCAGATGAGAGAGAGGGCAAGCATGGTTTGCTCCCTGGAAAATGTTCATGCCATGCTAGAAGGATATCATAGTTATCAGAATATGGGATCTTTGATTAGACATTTTCTGCTTAGTTTTCATGGATCTCAGTGCCAGGCATTGTTGAGAGTTATTCATTTCTTCAGCCTTAGATGCACAACCACTGCCTCCTTCTGGAAGAGGAGATGTGTCAGAGGCAGAGAAAGGTAGCTTACCTTGCCATGTCCTGTTCAAAGGGCAGAGTCAGATCCAGGCATTGCATCGACTCTGTTGGAACTGCCTTAGTGTGGCCCAAGTCCTCCCTTTCCAGAGAATGTAAAATGCATTTGAAATAAACAGTATTTTTTATA